GATTTCCAGTGAGGAAATCTGATGTTTTAATTCTGTAGCAATCCCGGCTCCCTGATGTCTGTGGACGTGTAAGTAGTATTGAGGGACGCTTACTAAGAAGAAGAGAAATGCCTCCTTTAAATTTGATGGTGATCATCGAAGTCCGCTGGTGAGACAATAAATGCCATATGAATTGTCGTTTGGTAGTATAGAAGCTGAGTATTGCTGAAAAAGACATATTTGTTAAAGCTTGTTGTCTGAAGGACGATCAGGGAGAGTGCCAATATAAAGGGAAAACAATCTCTAAGACACGAGAGTGTTGAATGGTTGGGAAGTGGGTTCTGATTGGTAGGAGCATTGCGAATAGTGACCATGAAGATGGTGACTGATAGGTACCTGTTAAATTGCATGAATGTCATTTTCCCTTTACATTGGCATTTCTTGTGAATTCGTCTGACACGTGTTTGATTAATAAAACACTTTAACAAAATGTGTCTTTTCTCAGCAGTACTCAAATATCAGATGAGCATGTACAAATGTACAAGTGATTGTGATGCTCAAGGTGCATGCTGATTCCTGGATGGATCCAGAAGTTATCCTTCATTCTACACTAGGCAGGGCCTTTAGAATGGTGGGGATTTCTTCTCCTCTGCACTGAGGATTGGATTTAAGATAAACTAAGTGCCTAGTACATGGACAAATCTAACGAAGAACAGGAGGAGAAAGTCCTGAAATATCTATACATTCATGTTTGAACTGTATTTTCCTATTGTCTCTGCAACAGTTGCGCAGATCCAAGATGGTGACAGAGTAGAACGTTCCAGCTCCAGTTCCTCCACTCCATCTTTTATTTCTCATCTTTTTTATTCACCCCTTTTTTTAAAATCTCTTGGTGATTTTTCACCTCTCCCTGCGACAGGTCTCAGCCTGATCTCTTGGTGGCTTGACTTGGGAGTGGGTCATGCCTAGGCATGTTCTCGAGGCACCGGGGAGATCAGAGAGGTAGAAGCTTTGGCCGCAGCAACAGTGAGTGCAGTGGTAGTGTTGAGAAGAGGTGAGCGTGATAAGTGGAGGACTCAAAGATCTATGAACTTTTAACTCATTCCTTTATTTTCCTAGATTAAATTAAGAAAGGCTTTAATGCTAACTATTAAATTATTTCTTTATTTGCCTACTTATTCTAATAAGGTAGTGCTTAACTTTTTAACTCTGTTTATCTTACTACATTGTACCTAAGTTTTTTGTACCTTGGTACCCAAGATGCAGCCTTATGTAGCAACATTATACACTTTTCACTGCACTCATGTACTTCTGTACTTGAGGATGTGTGACAATAAAATCTAATGCTAAGAAATCTAAGTTTTGTCAAACTATTGAGGGTGGCCATGATATAGCATTGGCATCCAGCTGAGCAAAGCTTCCAGAGAGATACACCCAACGATGTACAGTCTCCCTTCCTGTCCCCGTCACCATCCAGCTGAGCAAAGCTTACAGAGAGATAAACCCCTCCGACATACACTCTCCATTCCTGTCCCCGTCACCATCATGTCTTCCTGATCACTTGTGGAGTGAAAGTCACAACGATTTATCTACAAGGCCTCAGCGAAGTGTGGGTATCTGAGTAGGTGTATGGTTCTACATAAGTCCTGCAATAGAAGGGGACAACTCCTCTGTGAGCCACCAGCCATTGCTGCTGTATGAGCCAAGTCAAAATCAAGTCAACATGACTAAATGCTGCATGATATACATCACTCAAATTAGTTCTATTACCAGTTAGCTGCTGGATTCTAATCTCACCACCTTTTCTTGTTAGGGGCATTGAAAGACCGCTGGTCTTGTTTAGAGATGACTGCACCTTCAGTTCTTTCCTCACCTTAATGTACTGGTGAGAATAGCAGACCTGAGAGTGACTGAAGAGGATACAATGCCTTTGGTGACGGTGACTTCATGGAGGCCTCACATTGTTGTTGGTTGAGTATGAGAGCCAGCGATGAATGAATGAGACAGTGTATAGACAGGGACAGTTGCGTGGACCTGCAAAACGAAGTGTTTGTGAGCTGTGAAGTGCTGGAAGTGTTGCTTGGTGCGGAGTGCAGGGGTAAGACAGAATTTGGAGTTGCCATGACCTTTCCCAATGTGGTTAGCTAACTAAATTTCTTCCCGTACAGAATCCAGAAACATCGTGTTACATTCCTGGAGTTGCCCACCTGGGCCATTTTCAGACTCGTGTCTCATCCTCAGCTTTTTTGCTGCTGTTGTTTGGATGAATCTCTCTTTCTAATTCCAAAATGGCAGCAGAATGGGACTCCTCAGTCACAGACAGTCTGTTCCATCAGTTTATTTTCTTTCTTTTCTCTTCTTGTGTTTTGTGTGTTTTCTTTTTGCCTTCATTCTTCTTGGCAATGTCCTGAATTCCTGACTTCAGTGCGGTCTCAGAATCCGGGCCTCACCATGAACCCAGCATGGTGGTCTCTCACTGGCCTGACATGGTGGTCTCTCGGCAGCTCAGGGTGGGTAAGGGGGTTGTCTTTTGACTCGACTTAGTCTCACCACAGACGTCTGGCCTCGAGGTTAGTCAAGTGCAGTGTCCTGGCCTTGAGAGGTCAAGCCTGGTGCGATCTGGAGCCAAGGCCCAGTGCGAACTGGTGGCTAGGTGCTGGTGTGGACTGGGTTGGAAGGGCTGTTGCTCTGAACTTCTTATTTCTCTATTTTCTAATTTATTCCTACAATCTGTAACGCTGATCTTTTTATTTCTTTACTTTTTAATATGAGCATCTCACGCTGATGAAGACACGAGCACTGAAATGCATTATTAAGGGGCTTTTATGTGTCACAGTGGTATTGTTCCTATCTCTGGGCTAGGAGGCCCAGACTTAAGTCCCACCTGCTTCAGAGGTGTGTAATAACATGCCTGAATATGTCAATTCAAAAAGTAAGTTAATAAAAATGTATTATTAAAGGGTCCTCTTGTGGCACAGTTTCCCTACCTCTGGACCAGGAGGCTCAGATTCAAGTTCTATCTATTCCAGAGGTATGTAATAACACCTCTGAACAGCTCAGTTAGAAAAATAGGTTAAATAAATCATTTGAACTGTATAATTATTCGCAGGCCTGAGTAGGGGGTTTCCGTGTCATGTCAGACCTGTCAAGAGCTGGATCATGGATCAAAAAAAGACTCAGGTAGGTTCCCTAACATTATTTTAGATTTCCTTATGGGCTAGGTGAAGCTTTGAGCCTCCCTTGATATGAGCTCACCCTTAGCCCCGCTGCATCTAGAACCACACATTCCCCCATGTTTATGTCACTAAACCCCCAACCATGGATAATAATACCCTCTACCCTCTCCTGCCCCCATCCATGACCTCCCATTCTCTCCAGCATGGCTCTCACGCCCATAGGCTGACAACAGAGCTTTCCCCTCATCTTGGGAGGAAGATCCAGCTGAAATTGAAACAGGAAGTGCTGGAGAAACTCAGCAGAAACTGAGAGGAGTTCCGTTTGCCCATTCTGAAGGAGAGTCATATCGGACTTGAAACATTACCTCTCGCCACCGATGCTGCCAGACCTGCTGGATTTCTCCAGCACTTTCTGTTCTTATTTCAGATTTCCAGTATCCACACATATTTCACCTTTGAGCGAAAGGGGAGGCAATGACCTATTGGGATTATTGCTCATCTGTTAGTCCAGAGACCTAGGTAATGTTCTGGGGACTTGGGTTCAAATTCAATTAAAAAAAAACTTGGAATTAAGAGTCTAATGATGACCATGTCGATTCCTTTAGACAATATGATGAAGTAGATAGGTGGCACAGTGGCTCAGTGGTTAGCATTGCTGCCTCACAGCGCCAGGGGCCTGGGTTTGATTCCAGCTTTGGTGACTGTCTGTGTGGAGTTTGCACATTCTCCCCGTGTCTGCGTGGGTTCCTCCGGGTGCTCAGGTTTCCTCCCACAGTCCAAAGATGTGCAGGGTAGGTGCATTGACCATGCCAAATTGCCCGTAGTACCCAGGGTAGTGCGGGCAAGGTGGATTAACTTTAGATACATAGAAAGTAGGTGCAGGAGTAGGCCATTCTGCCCTTCGAGCCTGTACCAACATTCAACACGATCATGGATGATCATGCAATTTCAGGATCCCACTCTATACCTCTTGATCCCTTTAGCTGCGAGGGCCATGTCCATCTTCTCTTGAATATATCTAATGAACTGGCCCCAACAGTTTTCTATCTTAAATGTATGATTTCAGGAGTCAGGATGGGAAGGGGGAATTAGTTCTGCGTGGGATACTGTTCAGAGGGTCAGTGTATACTGGATGAGCTGAATGGCCTCTTTATGCACTGTAGGGATTCTATAACTCTATAAAAAAGGGGGAAAGTTCTGTACTGAAGTATAATTTGTCTACACAAATAACGTCTAGTTAATGTTGCTTTTAGTTTATGTTTAAATGTGAAATCTTTCTGCCTCATTCTTTTACCTATTCACTGAAAGTTTTGATATTTTTAAGTTTTTGACCTTTAAGGAGATTCTAACAATGCTAAGGATAGATAAATTTATAGGGATAGGGTGGGGGTGAAGGTGAGATGCTCTTCAGAGGGTTGATGCAGACTCAATGGGCTGAATGGCCTCTACCTGCACTGCAGGGATTATTTGAAACCTAATGTAGATTTGGAACATTGTTTTCAGAGACTGGCTTCACAAGTTCCATTTGCTGAAATGAGAGATTACTTGAGATATGTCAACTAAGCAAGTAATGCCGTATAATTTTCTACGTGTTTAAACATCCTTCCTCAGTTATAAGCATATCATTGCTTAACTGACCTTGCAATGCTTGACTGCAGTAGCAGACTCTACTTCAAGCTCAACACTGAATAGTAAAAGGAAAAATATTGCAAAGGACAGGAACAACAGAAGTCAACACCTACTGTTAAAAATGAAAAGCAGTGGTAATTCACATCCAGAAAAATGTTTTGGTCACCGAGGGATACATATATTGATGGGATATTGAAAAGATATGAAACCTCATACCAGAACGACCAGCCGTAGTCCCAGGAGTGTGGTCTCCAGTCCTCGGGTCCAAGACTGACTGTCACCTGGAACACCTGAGTATACATCACATGAGCCACCATTCCGAGCAGTCCTAGATAATGAGAAATACAAAGTACACTCTTGTAAAAGTCAACTGAAAAGCATTTAAAATCATCTTGCAAAACATTGGGGAAGATTTTTGTGCATTGACAAGGTGCATCACAGTCTGCTTCCCTTCTAATGGAAGCCTGCGTGGTGGTAAAATTAAATAAAAACCGAAAGAATTGCAGATGCTGTAAATCAGGAACAAAAGCAGAAGTTGCTGGAAAAGCTCAATAGGTCTGGCAGCTCATCTGTGAAGGAAAAAACAGAGTTAACAGTTTGGGTTGGGCGACCCTTCCTCAGAACCCCTGAGCCCCCAGTCCGCACTCGGCCTTGACTCCAGATTGCACCAGGCTTCGCCTCTCAAGGCTGGGAGACTGCACTCGAATCACCTCGAGGCTAGATGTCCGCGGTGAGGCCACGCCGGGCCAAAAGAACCCCCCACACCCCGTCCCGCTGAGCTGCCAAGGGTTCTGAGGAAGGCTCACCGGACCCAAAATGTTAACTCTGTTTTTTCCTTCACAGATGTGCTACCAGACCTATTGAGCTTTTCCAGCAACTTTGTGTTGGTGGCAATGTTAGTTTTGTTGCCAGAATTCAGCACAAAATAACTGAAACCCTGTTCCATGCATTTAATTCCCTCAGCATCCAGTTTACATTGGTCGAAGCAGGGTATCTCAGTGATAATGCTACAGAATTATTAATCCAAAGGCCTCGACTAACACTCTGGATATGTTCACATCCCACCACACCAATTGCTGGAATTTAAATTTCATTCATTGATATTCCTGGAATTTAAACATAGTTTAATGGTCACCATTACTGAGACTATCATCGATTGCAGTAAAATCCCATCTAGTTCATTAATGCCCTTCAAGAAAGAAATCTGCCGTATGGCCTACCTGTGACCCAGACTCGCAGTAGAATGGTTGCCCACGCAAATACATGAGCCAGCCTTTCACGTGTATCAAATTGTTACAGAGATGTCAATTATAATAAAATCTGCTGGATCACTTGGGATTAACCTAGTCATCCGAAATGACAAAGATACACTTTGCTATGTCCAACTTACTATCAGATGGGGACTTGGGCCAAAATTTGGAGAGCTCTCCCCTAAGCTTGTGAAACAGCTACATTGAGTGGATTCACTCACTGTTTCATACTTTATAGACAAAGCTCCAGACACCAGCATCTCCATTACTGGGTCTTTACCGTCAGTGAGATGGGACAGACCCAGCAGAGGCGGTGGCGTAGTCGTATATAGTCACGAGGGAGTTGCCCTGGGAATCCTCAACATTGTTCCGGACCCCATGGATTCTTATAGCAGCTGGTCAAATATGAGCAAGGAAACCACCTGATGATTACCACCTACTGACAACATGCAACCCACACCATTCACCCTCTCAGCTGATGAATCAACACTACCCCATGAGGGAGCACAGAGAGTGGCACCAAATGTTCTTTGGGTGGTGAACCTGAGGAGCCATCAGCAGGAGCGCCATAGCTCAGTAGCACCAGGACTAAATGAGCTGGACATAGGGACTAGTCTGGTTCTGTAGCAGGTGGACAGGGAAATATTAAGAGAAACAAAACCCCTCATAACCTCATCCTCACTAATCTAGCTGTCTTAGTTATATCTGTCCAGCAGTCAGGAGCCAATGTTCCATTTTCACATTTAGGATGCACGGCCCTGCCTTGGTCCATCGGCTTGAGACATTACCGCCACGGTAAATAGGACAGATGTAAACAGAACTAGAAATCCAAACCGGGGTATTCGTGACACACTGTCGACCATCAGCAGCAGTCCAATTGGACTTGAGCACAATCTTTGACCTCGTTGCCTGGCTTAATTCTCAGTCCACCATTACTATCAAGCTAGTGGGCCAACGTTACCTCTAAGCTGCATTGGCTCACGTGTGCGAGCTACTCCAACATTCCCCTCACAGAGATTGGTCTGGGCACATTGATTGCAGCATTGGCTTCTGGTTCAGGAAGTTGCTACAAGCACCAAACTCAAAGGTCAGTGCGGGCAGTAAGAAAATTAGAGGGAATGCAGGTCTAATAAAGTTAGGCATGCTAACAGCAGCAGTTGGAATGCCTAAACATTAGGTGCCAATGTGGCAAAGCTGAAAAAGAATTGTATTCTTGATATGTTGCTTGAATGTGGCATCTGATTGCCAACTATGCCCCGTCCACAAGAAAGCACAACATATCCTACTCATAAGGAAGGTGTCATCAACAGTGTGATCAACAGGCACTTTCTCCACAATCACCGTTCACTGATGGTCAGTTTGGATACTGCCAGGGCCAGACAACTGTTGACTTTATTCCAAACATGGACAAAAAAACTGAACTACAGAGTTGACGTGAGAATGACTGTACTTGACATCAATGTAGAATTTCACTGAATATGGCATCAAGAAGACCTGGCTATCTGGAAAATGCTTGTGGTTATTGGAAGTCAATCATCTTAGCTCCAGGGTATCTCTGCAGGAGTCCATCAGTGGGGTGGGGAAGGGCCAACCATCTTCAGCTGCTTCATCAATAACCTTTCCTCCATCATAAAGTCAGAAGTGCGGATGTTTGCCGATGATTGCACAATGTTCAGCAGCTTTTGCAACTCCTTAGGCTCTGAAACGGTACCGAAGATAGAAAGATTTGACAAAATGTGCCTTTTTCTCGGTGACATTCAAGTTATGAGAAGTGAAGTCCAGTTGGTGGTGTCTTCATTTGTGCGTTGCTTGATAAATATAATCATTTTTGGATTATGGTTTCCCCATTAGGGATTGCAACAGTATATTTGAAGAATATTGGTACCCTCAATATCTTTTATTTCCAGTCAGAAAACAGTCTTCAGTCCAATTCCACAATACACATCTGTGAAGCAGTGCAGACCACCAGAAACTGATGATGGATCTGTCCATATCATCCCACTCCTGTCAGAGGCTGGGATTGATGCTAAAGTTTCGCTCATCCAACTTAAACATGTTTCGCACTGAACTTTTATACCTCACGTTGATGTTATTGGATGAGCAATTGGCCAACTCAGTCACTTTGGGCTCATCTTGGTGGAAGCCAAAAAATCTCATTGCTCTTTCTTTTTCTGTAAGCTGCAATTAATTCTTTGAGCCTCTGTACCACAGCAGTCGGACTTGTCATTTTTCTAGATGGTGAGGAGATGAAACACACTACTTTGAGGTCTAGTTCAATCCATAGGCTTGACCCTGAGTTCCCAATTGCCTGTTAACCCAACTCTCCAATTTTCTCTTGCGCTCTCCTTGACCTCCTGCAGCGCTCAACGCAAGCTTAAAAATTTCCAACTGGGCACTTTAGAATCACAATTGAATTCAACACTTACGGACCATTACCTCTGCTCCAATTTTGTTTCCTTTTTCTTTGTTATAGTTACCTTGCTCTCTCTTGTCTCGTTCCTTTTCTTCCTGCGCTTCCAGAGGGCAACTATTCATGACTTTGCTATTCATACCTACTCTTTCATAACTACCTTTTCCTTCAGTTTTACACAATGAACTCTGTCATTTAATCTACCCTATATTTCACCCTATTAAAGATCTCCCTTTTCGTTCTTTTGCCAGCCTCACTCCTACATTGCTTAAACTGTGTTACATTTCTAACTTTTCCCAGTTCTAATCATAGATCATTGATCTGAAACGTTGGTTCTCCCTCCACACATGATGCCAGGTCTGCTGAGTATTCCCAGCATTTTCGGTTTTTTTTTCAGTTTTTCAACAAAGAACTAAGAATAAAGAACAACACAGCACAGGAACAGGCCCTTTGGCCCTCCAAATCTGCACGGACACAATTTGCCTTTCCATACTAAAACTGTCTTCACTTACAGGATCCGTATCCCTCTATTCCCTTCCTCATCATGTATTCGTCCAGGAGCTTGGTGAAGGCTGTTGTTGTGTCCGCTTTTTTTTTGTTTCTATTCATTTCGTGGGATGTGGGTGTCGCTGGCTGGCCAGCATTTCTTGCCCATTCCTAACTGCCCCTGAGAAGGTGATGGTGAGCTGCCTTCCTGAACCGCTGCATTCCTCCTGCTGTAGGTTGACTCACAATGCTATTAGGGAGGGAATTCCAGGATTTTGACCCAGCGACAGTGAAGGAACGGCGATATATTTCCAAGTCAGGATGGTGAGTGACTTGGAAGGGAACTTGGAGGTGGTGGTGTTCCCATATGTCTGCTGCCCTTGTCCTTCTAGATGGAAGTGGTCGTGGGCTTGGAAGGTGCTGTCTGAGGATCTTTGGTGAATTTCTGCAGTGCATCTTGTAGATAGTACACACTGCTGCTACTGAGTGTCGGTGGTGGAGGGAGTGGATGCCTGTGGATGTAGTGCCAGTCAAGCGGGCTGCTTTGTCCTGGATGGTGTCAAGATTCTTGAGTGTTGTTGGGGCCGCACCCATCCAGGCAAGTGGGGAGCATTCCATCACACTCCTGACTTGTGCCTTGTAGATGGCGGACAGGCTTTGAAAAAAAATAGCAGACACAACAGCAGCCTTCACCAAGCTCCTGGATGAATACATGACGAGAAGGGAATAGAGGGGTACGGACCCTGTAAGTGAAGACTGTTTTAGTATGGAAAAGCAAATTGTGTCTGTGCTGATGGTGGTGCTTCCACCAGTTCATCTGGCAGCACGTTCCAGGCACTCACCACCCTTTTGTGAGAAAAACTTGCCTTGCACATCTCTTTTAAACTTCGCTCCCCTCACATATTTACAAAGGGCTACTATGAGTAAGTGTTGGTAATAACCATCACTGGCACAACGGGCCCAAATCCACACTTGCCATAGTGCATCGCTGACATGTCTGTCACTCCCTCACACATACAACTCCAGATACAACTCCACTCCCTCGGCCTAGTCACTGTTAACCACCACATCATACCATTTCACTGTCCATAGCTATGTCCCATCTGAATACCCACCCTAACTAATGGTCCAGTGTAGACCTGCAGCATGGCATTGTCCAGGAGGGGAAGATCATATAAAGGC